TTTCCACTTGCACATAGTTCCATTTATCATAAATACGTCCATTTGGCAATTATTTATGACGGAATTGACTCAAGCTGCATGCTGGATGCTTCAAAAATTTCCTGGGGGGGGGGGGGGGGGGGGAGCGAACCCCTCTTACGTCCCCCTCCTCCCTCCGCTCGAGATGTCTGGATCCGCCTATGTTCATCCATTCGAAATGATCACGATGTGGTGAATTTGACCATGATAGCTAAATTCAGTATTATGTTGTTAACATGGTAGAAGGAAAAAATAAAAAATATTCTACATCATCCCTTGAAGTTTTCGCAGAATTTTCTTCGCATACAGAAGAAAAGTCACGGTAGTTTTTAAGAACTGCCGTTGAGTTGGTTTCCCTCTTAAAAATAAAGTAAGACGGTAGATGTGAAACGTCGCAGACCCAGATACGTGGTTGCTGCCTTATACCACGGATATCTCGTTCATTGTGAAACGGGACAGTTTACGAGACAGGGTGCAAACATTTCACAGGGATGACATCTGATTCAAAGTTATTCCCTAACTTTCGCGTAGACTTTTATTGTCGCTGGATGGATTAAAGTTTTCCCTGCATCGATGCGTCGCCTCGCGGAAAAGTTATGAGTTTCAGCGGGGTATTTTTGTCGGGAAGACTAATGGCCGGAGAAATAATAAAGCCATGCACGGTTTTCAAATCTTTCAAGACGCCACAAGTTTTACAAAGCTCGCACTCGAGACCCAAGTTTCACTCGGACGTATTTCTGCCGAACGGAAGTATGTGCATTAAGACATGAGCCCTGCGACCCATAAGAATTTATGCATAACAGGGCTCACGTCATAATGCACATAGTTCCGTTTGGTAGAAATACGTTCACTTCAAGGAGGCGAGCCCACCTGGAGCCATTTCGCGTCGGGGATGTTATTCCGTTGTCAAGATCTAAGTCCTCTCGAAGCAAAGGGGATAGCGCATGGAAAAGACGTCGACCCAATGGCAAAAAGACGTATCTTGAGTTCCACATGAGCCCTTTTTTCCGTATAGCTCTATGCTTTCTGGGGCTCATCTTGAGATAGAGATACGCCCTTACGTCGGAGGGCCGACGAAGAGAGTCACGTACACGCAGACATCTCATTTTAAATCAAATAATTTTTCCTTGGGTTGGGAAGCGAGGCGTGCTGTTTTGAAAATACGGGATGTTAGAAAAGGGAGAGGTACTCTGCCGTGATAAGAATAGGAAAAACATCGTATGAACATTCGAGAGTTGCCAAGTTTCCTCTGATAAAATGTTTATTTTTGAGACAATTATGAATACTATTCCTGAAAATTTTCAGGAACCTTAGATCAAAATAAGAACAAAATTCTTTGCAAAATTGGTAGAAAAATATTCATAAGTTTACCAGGGAATTCATGTTTTATTGAAGACAATTTGGCAACGTCTGAAGGTTCATACGGCATTTTTCCTTATCATGGAAGTACTCGAGTGAGAGCTTGGGCACGGTGGAAAAATCGCGGCATCTCTGACGTAAACGCGTAACTCGGTTTATACTCCATCGTCGCAAAGCGTGAAGTTACACGTCAAACAGGGCCGTCTCGAAGTTGAGTTACGCCCTCACGTCAGCGGATCGACGCGAAATATGGCGCCAAAGCGATTCATGTCACGTCTCCGTATCCTTTCATCGTTTCATATTCTAAATGTTCATTTGGTTCCGTCCGAAAAAAAAAACAAAGGGATCGTGATACATTATTTATTTTCGCTCGAAGTATATCACTCGCCTGCTCATTTCATTAGTTTATTGAATTATCTATTTGCTCGCGGAGTTTTTGTTACGAGATACGCTCGTGGAATATTGCAGGGTTAGATGTATTACACATTTTTTTTTTTTTTATGCTACTGTATCCTATTATCTATTTTGTCAGTTCATCACATTTATCACAACACATCAATTCGTTCGTTTCATGTAGCGGAATTTGTCCGGAAAAATGATTGGAATGGAATTTTACTCTTTATGCACGCTTTTACAATTCGGTGGGTTTAAATCTATGATGCCATCAAAATCTGTTCTAAGATTACGTCAAATAATGGGATTTATACGTTTACAAATTTTTACAGTGTACTTACATCGTGATTTTTCTTACCTCTTCTTTCAGTTATTTTGCAACAATGGTATTTGAACTTATTCACCTTAATTCTGTACGAATTTAAATCCCAAGTAGTTCAAAGGCGTGATAAGCCTTGTCCAGATTTTTCCCGGACAAACGGCATAATTATATCTCAGGACCTTTATTACAAGATGCATTTTGCAAAGCTAACTTCTTTTTGTAACTATTCAAGTTAACGATTTTACAAATCAAAATTATACTATACTCAAAGTAAACAGAGGCAAATAATTAGTGACTAACATGTGTAAAGTGAGCTCACCACTTCTTTAAATACAAGGATTAGCCGCTCTTTTGCCATTGGGAGGGAATTTAGAAGCCAAAAATTTTAAAATTAAACTCAAACCTCGAGCGTGTCTCACATGGTGCTAAGAAAGTTGGCCCTTCTCCCAAGTGTTTTCTATATACATTTCAAATATTTATGACATCGCATTCTCTCTGACTTTTCCAAGACCACTAAATAGAGCACTAAATAGAGGAAGCATGGAAAAAAATATACCAATTTCGCGGTACCAGATTTTAAATTGCACATGATTTCGATCTGTTCATATATTTAAGACGCGTTTTATACCAACAAATAATAAAAATAAATTCTAGAATTAATCTCAAACCTCGAGTGTCTCTCACATGGTGCTGAGAGAGTTGGCCCTTTTCCCAAGTGTTTTCTATATATTTCAAATACTTATGACATCGCATTCTCTCTGACTTTTCTAAGACATTTAATAGCACTAAATAGAGGAACCATGGACAAAAAAATACCAATTTTGCGGTACCAGATTTTGAATTGTACATGATTTCGATCTTAATCATATATTTAAGACGCGTTATATACCAACGAATTACAAAAATGAATTCATCAACAACATTATCACTAGCTAGAACGAACAAACAATATAATGCTCTCATTCCGTGAGTCGAACGCACGGCGTTGGGATGCAACTATTTTAACGCGGCGGTAGCGTTTGGTATCGTTTATGATTGAAGGCGCTTTGTCTTCTCCGCATCTCCTCTTGACAAGCACAAACGCACCAGCGCGTCAGCGTCATTATTATCAGCCGATGCTCCCCGTAACTTTAAAATCCCGAATTTCTTTTTTAATTCTCTTCGGCGATTTATCCGTCTTTCTCCCATACTCTAATTTGTTTGGTGTTCACGAGTCTATTCTCGTAATACTTGGCGACGTTCCTGAGTTTGCATTCGTTGCTCAGTTCTTTTCTGCAGTTGGTTATGCAAAGAGTCGGTTTTTGCGGCATTTTTTCGGGAGTTGCATAGTCTTAAACAACACAAGTATATTGGAAAGGTATAAGAGATAAAGAAACCGTGCCTTAATATGAAATATAACGATGCAATATTTCGTCGGACTTGAATGGAAACGTTTTAAATTTCCATGCCACGGCCATTGGTTTTTTGTTTAAATCACGATTTTCCCAAAATACATTGACAGGGCTGCCACTTTATTTGGGGACTTGAAAACTGAAAACACGGCATCACTGCTAATGTATTTGCTCCCTATCTTTGCATGGAGAGTTTGTCTTGATGTAGTGGTGGACTCTCAGGGTAGGGTGGGTTATCCCCTCCATTTTGGCCTCAACTTGAGAGCTTTTCTTGAGCTTGGGGGTTCATTCCAGAGAAAACCAGTGACACCATCGTGTTTCTCGCAAACTTTTACATTAGAATCAGTAGTCAAATCGCAAATTCCTTACACATGCAACATCTCAATTGAGGGGCTTGGAGGACAAGGCGCATAAGTGCAGTTTTTGCAATTTTGAGAAACACGTGTTTAAAGTTTCGAAATTACATGGATCCCTATGACGGAAAGAACGTTTAAACTGACATGTTGATACTTTTAAGCAAATGAGCAAATTTGAAACAAGGATATGTGTGCAGGAATATCGCATTTACCTTGAAGATCTGTCATTCCATCAATCTGGTGCATCGAAGTAGATGCGGCACAATAGTTCCGATATCTAAACTTGACAGATTTCAAAACGCCTTCAATTGTGGCGTGATACCTCCCGCGCTCCGGAGAGTACGTATAGTTGTTTCATTGCGCCTTACCAACGCGACGGGAGATTAACATTGAAGGAGCCTCCACGATGGCCTTGTCGGTAATTCTCGGTCATTTTTGCAGTCGGGGCCGCATAGTTAAAAAGTGCTTACGGTAGAATAGTATTCCGCAAATTTGTAATTTTCATTGGAGGAAATTAAATGGATCTTTATGGTGGAAAGAAAATTCTAACTGACTTTTTGATGTTTAAAAATTGGGATTTGGGAGTTTGGGAGCGAATTTTTCAAGGAATATGCATCAAGACTAGTTTTACTTTAAATCATTAATATCTCGATTTATTCTAAAAACTCTACTTAAGCGTTTGGAGACTCCAAAACTGAAAACACGGCATCACTGCTAATGTATTTGCTCCCTATCTTTGCATAGAGAGTTTGACTTGATGTAGTGGTGGACTCTCAGGGTAGGGTGGGTTATTTCCTCCATTTTGGCCTCAACTTGAGAGCTTTTTTGAGCACATCGACGGTGAAACTACCAAACCACGTATCTCGGTTTGCGACGTCGCAGACTTCCTGTCATACTTTATTTTTTAAATGAAAAACTACTTAACATCCAGTCTTGAAAATTTCTGTGATTTTTCCTCTTTGTGCGGTGAAAATTCCGTGAAAATTTCAAGGAATGATATTGATTTGGTCTACTTCAAAAAAATAAAATGTGAGCGTAGATTTTTAAACACCGCAAGCGAGATACGTGGTTTGGTAGTTTCACCGTCGACATGCAACATCTCCATTGCATGGCAGTTAACGGGAAACCCGGGAAAATAGTTGATTTTCCGTTTGTTTTCAGGGGAAGACACAGGATCGCTCCCTCCTCGCTACCAAGAGCTCATGCCCCGCCGTCACCGGGTGTCACGCTTCAAGGTCTGGCTCTCCGTGCTCAAGTTCCACCTGACGTCACCCGGTCCACACCCGACGACCCACGCCACGCAGCAGCCGCTCGTCGACTGCAGTGCCCGCCTCCAGATCTGGGACGGCAACGTCCAATCCTCACCCTCCTGCAACGATATTTTCTGGTCAGTCTCCATTTCCTCAGGCCTTGTCTCCACGAGCCGTTTCACGAGATTCGTCCCAGGGAAAAATCCCACTTACGAAGTTGGGGAAAATATTGAGTTACACCGAAAAAAAAAAAAGGAAGTTAAATTAACATTCTGAATGTAAAAAAAAGTGTGCGAGAACTTATAAATGCTGAATTACCCGCACAGCACTTAATTTTACATCTTGGCATTGCTGAAGTAACTGCTGTGGCAGGTATTTTAGCATTTTGTAAGTTCTCGCACACTTTTTTTACATCCAGAATGTTAAATTAACTTCAATTTTTTTCGGTGTAAGCAATATTTTTCCCAGTACCAAGTATGGTACTAGGACCCACTGAGAGAAGAAAAAGAAGTGAAAACGAATCGTGCGATATTTTATTCATTACTACATTGTTCATGTTTGTGTGGTTAAAATAATGTGTCTAATTGTCAATTGAGTGCAATTATTATTTTAATCCCGGTTAAATACTCGACTTTGACTAATTTATCTTCCCGCGCAAACTAGTCGCAGGACTGTATGAGCCCCGTCCCGTGGAGACGGTAACTGGGAAAAATCCCAGAAGTTTCATTCCTGTGACTCGAACTTGGGACAAATCCCATGAAAACGTCTCGTGGAGACAAGGCCTTAGCCGATATACACATTTTTATAGAGCACCTCCGAGACAATGGTAACAGTATACGCAAGGAGGGAAAACGGGAAACTAGGCTAAAGTACACAATTAAAAAAAACGAGACGTTTCGACTCAGAACTGAGTCATTTTCAGTCGGAAATACAATACAATTTTAAAAAACTATGAAGACCTGAGCCCTACATGGTGGTGGCCGGGATCTACAAAAAAAGGGGGAAAAAATCCAATTATTTTTTTTTCGCAGATACCCGGCCATCACCATGTAGGGCTCAGGTTTTTCATGGTTTTTAAAATTTGTATTGTAACGTTTCCGACTGAAAATGACTCAGTTTTGAGTCGAAACGTCTCAGTTTTTTAATTGTTTATTTTAGCCTTGTTTCCCGTTTTCCCCTTGTTCTTCTGTTTCCTCAGCCTTAGGCAAATTTTTGCAAGTGGATTTCGTCGACTTTCCAACTAGATCGAAGTTTCTCTTGTGTTAATCACTAAAGAATCATTTTCGGAATCTTTCCATAAATCATTTTTCAGAGCCCAACCTAGTCCCGCCTATTAATATTGATAAATTAAAAAGGAATATAAGAATTTTTGGAAATAGTTCCTTACTTAACAGTTCCAAATGAGAGAAAAAGACACTAAGAAGTGGCCCGAAACTGTATGAAACAAGGTGGAGAAATGGTGCTGGGTTCACACCATTTTCCGGGGAAATCAAAGCCGAGAAGTTCCAAAAATTATAATTAGAATCAAAAATAATTTTATTTTAAAATTGCGATTCCAATGCAAACTGCCTGTGCTGGACACTCTCCCCCGTCAGTTTTACACTGGTACTCATTAGAGTTAAAAAAAAATTATTTTTGACTCTAATTATAATTTTTGGAACTTCTTGGCTTTGATCTCCCCGCAAAATGTTGTGGACAGAGCACCTTTTCTCCACCTTGTTACTTGACAGTTCCTCGACTTTGAAATCTAAGTTTTTATAAATAACTTTACTTTTGTATATAAATTCCTCTTCGCGGAAAGCCTCTGGAAGATCTGTTCAGTTTTGTATCATCAGCCACGAAGACATGATCATCAAAATTCAATCACTGCTCGGAACTTTCAAAGTAAAATTATGCCTCTACTCATACGAACGACGACGGGATAATATTTTCAAGTCACGCTGGAAAAAAGTCACTTGGATCTAGAGTCCAGACTCTTAATAACATCGACAAGAAAAAATATTCTTGATTCAATACGATTTTTTCTTGGAACGAGAAGCCCCACCTCTTGATCTAGGCGGATTTCCATTTGATTCAAGCAGAAAGTCCGATTGAATCAAGAGTATTTTTCTAGTCAATGTTTTTAAGAGTCTGGGCTCTAGATCCAAGCGACTTTTTCTTCCAGTGCATGAGTTTGAAGTTCCAAGCTTCAAAATCGGAACTTCGTTAATTATATATTTTGCCAAAGTTTTGAACAAATTTTTACCATCAAAAGAATCCAGTGCTCGAGAACCCTGCGCACTGAACTGGGGGAAACACCAAGAAGTCAAAGAGACGTTGTTATCGTACTGTAAGTTGCAGAAGTTGTACCCAATTTGGGAATAGCGAGCCCAAAGAGCACTGCACAGGCGGAGGTCTTTGTTTGCTTACTGTGAGCGGAATTGAAATCTGAAATGCAGTTGGGGCCCGGTGAAGCAGTCGCGAGGACCAAGTTGCCAGGATATTCGAAATTCGGAATTAGGAATTATACGGCGCGCATAACAAAACGGTTCAGGGGTCGTCTTTGGTTTCATTTGTTTTCTTTCACCGAGACTGGAATGGAGTCATGAATAAAGTATAGTGCCGTCCGAAATTGAATGGAAATGACACTTTTCAAATTAGTTCGAATAAATTAAAGTAATTGTTAAAAATAATTTGAAAAAAATCCAAGTAGATCTTGATACCACTATTTAAACTCGAAAAAGCTAGTTTTACCTACCTTTATATTGAAGGTGTGTGAATGCGTTGGTCGATTATCTACTTTTAAATCCCAAAAATTGTATACATATTTTTTTCATTTTGAGTTTATTTATTTTGTGAGCTTTGCTTTGTTACAATTGTCCTTAAGATAGGCTGCGGCATATGTTAAACGTTAATTGTTGAAAATTTAAAGCATCGTGGTTCATTTTATCTAACGTAAGATTAGAACTGAGTTGACTCATGAAAAAAGTAATGCAGTATATGTGCAATAAAGACTTTAGACTAATTTCACAAAATGCTCTTGGGACTTAGTATTTTGGATTTTTATTTTTTTTTTAATATCCGGGGATAAGATTAGGGGAAACTAAGTAGGAATATCTTAAAGACTGATTACTTTAATTTCGCTTGGACCCGACAATACCGTGTAGAAACAAGCAAAATCGTAGGAAAAGGGGCCTAAGGTCCCTTCAATATCCCTTCTCGGATCAACAATTTCAATGCAATTTTATTAAATTTCACTTTCTTCGAACTGAGGACAATCAATTTTTAAAGCTCCATAACATAAAAAAACCCGGCTAAAATTTATACTAACTTTGAATACAATCTTCCATTTTAGTAGGGATATTTTTTACCGTGTAACTTCGGCAATATATGAGCACATGCTGTGCTCCCTACGAGTCAGGAGTCAGCATTTGACAATGCTCGCGGTTGCCGAATTTAAAGGAAAACCATTATTTTGCAAGACAGGAACGATCTCTTGACTTGGCGCACACCGGAAATAGAAATCACTTTGAATCAAGTAGTAGTTGTCGGATTAAAAACGGCTACGAGTAAACGGTTAACTTGATTTAAGAGAGGGTCGAATAGAATCAACCCGGCTTACGGCTAGCTTAGTTACACCTCAGGTTGATTCTATCTGACTTCTTGGACCAAGTGAACTGCCGCATTGTTGCCGTTCTTAACCCGTCCTAGAAACATTGTTTGTTGGAATAAGTTAAAAAATTTGCAGAATTCAAAGAAAAACTCTAAAAACGGAATTTTTAAAGAATCCGAGCCCGGAAACCTCCTTTTTTTATTCATAAAATTATGCCTCCCTGCATTCTCACAAGTTTTTCATCACCTCATTTCGGTAACTTTTAAACACAAAATTTACATGAGTTTTACGTACAATTTCTCTATTAAGTTCATACAAATTCTGTAAACATCATTATATATTTGTATAGTGCAAATATTGACGTTCATTTTTTGTACAGCATCAATATGAGAGATTTTTAAAACTTGACACAATTTTGATGCCACTTTTTCCCATAACTTTTTCTTTTTTTCAAATTTCCCATACATCGTCGTTTCTCTAACGAAAGAACGTAACTTCATTTGAATGTTGCAAAATTTCCCAGCAAAGGTTGCTCTATAACCAGGAAAATTCTGAAAATATCAACTTGAAAATTTCACTGATGTTTCCTCTGATCTCATGTAACAATCAAACGAATTTTCAACAAAAGCTACGCATGTACGTTCTAGTAAAGAAATCGAATCCTTTCAGTCAATTTTGCAACCTTGAAATGAAGTTACGTTTCTTTGCCAAGGAAACGGCGATATTTAGTTGAAAAAGAACGAATAGGGTTTTATAGCCTGGCAAATTTTGAAAATCGGACGTATTTATGCTAAAAAGAACTCTGTGCCTGGGATTTTCGGGCAACATAGCTCCTTTCAGAATAAGTCCAATTTTCCACGTTTTTAAAGTCAAAATTTAACAGTCAATGCTGCTAAGGTGGCGTCCGCTTACTTGAACACAGAGTGAACTTTTTTCGATAAAAATCTGACAACGGTTTGTGGAAAGAGTCTTGGCTTCGCGGGCGAGAGCCGACTACTCAAACGGTGATCTTTCGATAGGTGCATTGTCGAACTTTCCCCGGAGAAATGGGCTCCGTTCGGCGGAATAATGGAGGAGACTGCCGGTTGAAAGCAGTGCCGTTTAGAGTAAAAGCTTTCGCCGTGAAAGTTTAAACACCGCAGGTGAAGCCCGAGCGGCGCGACACGTAACGCGCGGGAGTCCCGCAAGAGCGCGCCCTTGACCTCTTATGTGCTCCAATTAGTCGGGGTCGCCGTGAGAGAGCTGTGGAGGAGTCACTCCTCCGTAAAGAGTTCTTCCTCTTTGCATCCTTTTCCAAGAACTGCTAATGATGGGCCAAATTAGAGACGACTCCTTGGATCTAGGAGTCGTCGCACAGTGGATCGAGTCAGTAGAGAATTTGCGGGTGTCTGAAACTTTGTAAATGTCATCTTTAAAACGATACGGCTGGGAAAACTGGGTACGAGGATATCTTTGGTTTCTAAATTGGACAATGGACCACTATACAAGGTACAAATTTAAGCAATCTGATAGATGTTTCTTAACCAGAATGTCACGCAGAACACG